GCGCTCATTCGAACATCGGAGTCTGGTGTAGAGAACACGGCATAGACTCTATGATCATTGGCTGACGACACAATCGGATCCGATACGGCTTCTAAACAAATAAATAATGATTAAGTCCAAAGTGCAAGGATGGCCAGGGAGCTGAAATATCCAAGAAAGGAATAGAAGTTCCTATGATAATGCAGAAGTATTAGGGCTTATAAATATGTTCAGATGATAGAGATAATGCACGAATTCGAAGAAAATTGGAGAAAGGAAAGATAGAAAGTGAAAATGTGCAATGCAATTGTGTAGGAAGAATTTGAGACAGAAAATACTTACTGAGCTCATTAAAGTAGAAAGGTGTTGCAGAAGACAATGAACAGTTCAGTCGAGCTTTCATGAATGAAGTCCAGCGTTCGTTAGCAGGTCTTGCACCTCCCTTATCATTTCGACAAACTCGAGCTACTCTGGCGTAGATCTAGAAAATCATATGTTGAAAATCAGCTTTTTTCCTACTTCTTCATCTAAATGTAAAAAATAAGTGCTGACCTGCCGCTCTTCATTGTTGTCCATAGCTTCAGCGGCGCGCTCTCTATACCAGTAGTAGACATGCTCCTTGTACACAAATGAGCCAACAAAGTTGGGTGCTAAACAATCAGAAGCTAGTAATCCAGTAGGAAACCACTTTTGCGCCAAACTCACTGTCAAGCACTCTAGCGTCGTCTCTCTGGGTCCTGATCCCATTATCTCTATCATTTTCACCTATTCTCTTACGGTATATGAGTGGATCATTCCCAACGAAATCAGACACTGTGCCGGTGTAGATCTCATGCGTGTCTGGTAGATAAACGACTGTTGAGTTGTCGCGAGGATCATATGGTGAAATTCCCTAGAAATAAAAATTCAAAAATAGCCCAAAATCTTTTTCAAAATCTCTACCTGGCCATCAAATTGTCGAGTATTTTTTAGAGTGCCGTCAATGCTAGAGTATACGTACTCACGGCACTTTGGTGAGAATGCGTGTGTACCACAGATTAGGGCCTTCCCAGGCGACTGGCGTGCCAGAACACGGATATAGTTCTGACAATCGCTCTAAAAGTAAAAAAATAAAAGTAGAAATCCGAAAAAATGAAAATTGAAAAATTTAGTAAGCATATATACTACGAAAACTTTCTTAGCGAAGAGCGGAAAACAATTTGAACATGTATACCTAGAAACCGAAAAATGCCCTCACCTTTAGCTTCCCCTTCATCAAACACTCTTCGATCACATCAGCAGGTGGTTTCCAGTCGACTTTCTGAACACAAATCATAAAACCAGCTCTTAACACCTTAGTCATGATTTCAAATCCAATCTTAACCAAACGCCTAACCAAACCAAAATCATCGCTAAATAAACTTCTGGCGACAGTAATCTGTATACAGTAGGATTATAAGCTCAAGTGCTTGCGCATAAACTATTCTGCTCTCTATGCAAATAATGTTCTACACACATAGGAACAGATACGATAGGATTACTGGGCAAGCTTACGAACAATAAAACCAAAAAGAAAAACTTACGTGATGAACACTGAGAGTGGTCACTGACAGGTTGTAGACAGCATTACTGAAAAATAAAGTAGGTAAGTCTATTATCGTCAAAGGTTTAGTAATCTAGAACAAAGAAAAATTCTCCAGAAAAATAGTTGATGTCCCGAAAAACCGGACCCATTCATTTTTACGGTCAGTGAGTATTTGGCACATGGTCTAACGATGTGACTTTCGTTATTCCCAGGTCAGATAGTAAACATAAAGCGCTTTAAATAGGAAGTAATTCATTTACTCATCGTTAGATACTTATAACTGCGGATTTTTGCACATTGAGGAGAGTGATAGCCGAAAAAGGTGCCACATTCTGGCCTATCTTCATAATAAGGCGAAA